ATGAAGTTTAGCTGCTTCAAGAAGTTGGGACTTGACTTTGATATGCTTATTGAAGGATGGGACACAAGCTAGTAAAATATAGTGTCAATGTAACACCCCAAAATCCAAGAAAATTTTCATTTTTGATTTAACAATTCATAAAACAGATTATGGAAAAAAATCATCGAGTTATCTCATTTCATAAAAACCATAGATCATATGTCTCAAAAGCATGTCATAAGATAATAATAATGTCAGAGTACAAATCCCAAGAACATCATAGTGTGGAAAATCGTGGTGTGATGCGCTGCTATCGTGTCGGCTCCTTTCCCGTCGAAGAAGAAGGACCTGAAACAAAACTGAAAACCGTAATCACAAAGCTTAGTGAGTTCCCCCATCATACCACATACCATATAATCACATAACGCCTAGCATATCTGGGTGCTGGCCTCCCATTCGGTCTCTTTCAACCGGTAACTGCCTAGCATATATGGGTGTTGGCCTACCCTTCGGTCTCTTTCAACCGGTATCCGAGGACTATTTCACCCCTACCACTACCACATAATACCCTAGCATATACATATAAATCATATACTGCCTAGCATATCTGGGTGTTGGCCTCCCCTTCGATCTCTTTCAACCGGTAACCCGAGACTATTTCACCCCCTACCACTATCACATAATAACATAACATACTAGCACATAAAGCATAACAGATAGTGGCATACCAGACAATTATCACAAAGACAATCTTCTCAACTATAATCAATACTAGTGGGCCGACATTGGTGCATTCGACCCACTCCTACTGGAAGGTAACTCACCTCAAATGTCGTGTAGTAGCTGAACTGCCCTCGGCTCTGGAATCAATTCCTCTCAACTCCTACACATAAAAATCTCCTTTAATTACTCTTTAATACCCATAACCCCATTAAGGGTCAGTTCTTGTCAAAATCAGCATCCTAGTCAAAGTCAACATCTTGGTTGACTCGACTCGCCGAGTTGGTACATCAACTCGTCGAGTTCCATGATCCATAAAACCTTGGAAATCTCGATCCAACTCATCGAGTTCTTTCATGAACTCGTCGACTTCCTCCTCATAACAGAGTCGAGACATTTCACTCACAACTCGCCAAGTTCCTCCTTGAACTCGTCGAGTTCCTCAATCTTCAAAGCCCAAAACCATGGCCAACTCGCTGAGTCATCTCCTAGACTCGACGAGTTTGCTCCGTAACAGAAAAGTTTGGGGGACCACGACCCAACTCACCAAGTTGAATGAACAACTCGTCGATTCCTCCTTAGTCTAAATCCATTCAGTCACTTCCAATCGAGTTCAATGCTTCCAAACCACATATCTGGTCCCCTAGGACTAAGTTACCACGTAAAGTTGCTAACTTTACGTTCATGCATGGTGTCATGAAGCTAGAAATACCAAAACTAAGCTATATAAGAGGTCTAGGGCATGGGGAAGGGCCAAGGCTGGATAAAGTTGGCAACTTTAAGTCTCATAAGCTCATGAGTGCCTAGATCTGAAGTCACTACTTCATGATACACTCAAATCCCGAAAATGTCTTCAATATGGCACAAAAGTGACAACATACTACCCTAAATGAAGATCTAAGTAATAGAAAGCCAATGTATCAACTTTATACCTCAAATGAGTCAGAAATGCAGCTCAAACTCCGGATCTACTATCTCCCTCTTGAACCCCCAAGCTTTTCCTTCCTTCTCAAGCTTCAAAATCACAAATAACACACAACAATGGCTCAAAACACTCAAAATTGGATTAGGGTTTCATGGCTTGGGTTTGGGGTGATAGAGGTTGCAAATGAGGCCAACCTTTGGAGGTTAATGTGTTTAAATAGGGTGCAAAACCTTGAAAATTAGGGTTTCGCTCTAGCAGCCCTACTCGTCGAGTTGAGGCTCTCAACTCGTCGAGTAGACTTCAAGTCCCGCGTCCAAATTCCATTCCTACTCGATGAGTTTGGGGCCTCCAACTCGTCGAGTCCCTTTGCAAAAATGAATAATTTGATTTAAAAATACATACTAGGATTCGGGTGTTACAGTCAAGTTAGAAATTATGAAAATGGAAATTGTTGTGTGTATTAGCTTTATGTATTCACTTTGAATAGAAAGGGTTCAATCCTTAGTGACACCCTAATATTCGAATATTTGGATTAAATAATATACTAATGTGAAATTCAATCGTCATGACATTTCATTTATGCATCAGTTTGTTCTTGTTTATGTTTTGCATTAAGTTTAACCATGATTACACTTAAATGGGGGAGGTTTGTTGGTGATTTAATATCATCAATGTTATTTAAGTGTAATAGGATTAAATTTTTTGATTAAATTTTTTGACCAAAAGTGATCTTGTTGAATATTGAACAAGTTAGGATGGTATATGAGTGCACACATGTTCAAGTTTTCAAGATTCAAAGTACACTCTTATTTAGGGGCACACCCCCTAAATGAACGGGGGTCCGGGGGCAACGCCCCTGGGAGCGGGGTCCGAGGGGCGGCAGCCCCTAACGGGGTCCAAGGGGCAGAGCTCCTCGCTGGGATCCGCTTTTTAGAAATGGACCCTTTTCCCTGAGATTCGTTTTTATGACAGGTTTGACAGTTTGTAATTGTCTTGTGACAGTTTTCAAAATGAAATCATATAGTCGTTTTTTGGTCATTTTCTAGTACACTTCTTTAAGAACATTTCACATACATTCTCTGATTTCGTATCTCTGAATTTCATCCAATTGAATGTTCGATCTGTACCATCGAAATACTTCAATTTGTTAGTGAATCACGACTTTCAGAAAATCCAAGCAATTTGTTCATCCCCTCTTTCTAACACGGTTTAATATTCTACTAGAATATTCTAACATTCTAAAAATTCGATTTGAATATTTACAGTATAATATTCTATTAGAATATTTCACGTATATTTGAAAAAACGGTAATGTATTTTATTTTATTTTTTTATTTTTTTTATTTTGGATAATATAAATGACGAAAATAATATTTAAAGAAACCAAAAACTTTTATTTATTTTGCATTTTAAAAATATCTTTTTTATCTCTAAAATAAATTGCTAGGATTGCGTCTCCATGTCTCACAAAATATGATGGTCTCATGTGAAACTAATATATATATATATATATATATATATATATATATATATATATATATATATATATATATATATATATATATATATATATATATGACAAATAACACTAATACTACTTTTTGTTATTTTTTTGGATTATTCTTTTCATTTGCAAGAGTTATTATTTGGGCCATCTCTGGGAGGTATTGATTTTGTTGGGTTTGGATAACTTGGCGTTGGCTACAACATTGTTTGGCTTGACATGTAACGGTGAGCGAATGTATTATTTTGAGAACAATGTTGGCAAGTTGGATCAACATATATATTGACATCTATTTTTTCAATATCTAAAGTTCTTCCAATATTCCTTAACAAATCTCTCGGGATCATGATGAAAATAGAAGTATGGTAGAGTCCAATCTTCATTGGAAAGAAGTTGGACTTGATGAAGTTGATCATGAGTTTGATGAAGAACCGTTGGAAATGAAAATATGAAAAGGAGGACAAACATCAATCGGTAGTTATTCTACAAGTTTTAAGCCTATGTATCATTCTAGTGATCCTACATATGCAATAGTGAGTCTACCTGCTTATTGACTTAACGGTCCCTAGTTTGTCAAATCTCACATGGATATTATGAGGAACACTCACAAACTCTCATATGCACATGAAAAGATGCCAAAGTAATTTTAAAGAGAACAATTAGTAGCTGAAATGAGCAAAACACATTTTTAAAATCGTTTCATGACATGCTCAAGGAATGCATATAGTATTCATATTGCATTTAAGGAAACCAATAAACATCATGTATACATCAAATGTTAACTTACCTCAAGTTCTAACTATTGAAACCACTCATTTTCTTCGGTGTAAGTCCTTCTCAAACATCACCTATATGATATAAACACTAGTTGTGAGACTCATGTAGTACATGGGTTGATTTAAAAAAAAAAGGTTAAATATAAAAGTCAAAATATTTGAGAACTTTTGAATTTATAAGAAATTAAAAAAAATAATGAATTATTATTATTGAAATTTTTTTATCTTTTAAATTTAAACAAATAATTTAAATAAATAATCAAAAGAAACTAATAAGCTTTAATTTGGAAATTTTTTAATTTGAGAATTTTGAAATTAAAAGGTAACTTCATTAATGAAATTGATATCCATTTATTACTACATTTATTGTAATTATTACATTAAAATATTATATAAAATTTAATAAAATAAAAAAACTCATAAAATGACATGTAGAAAAAATTAATTCAAAATAACTACAAAATGACATTTGGCAAATTGAATAAGAAGGTGACATGTGACAAAAAAATATTTATTTATTAGAGTAGATTGGTTACTAAAATGACCAAAACACCCCTTAGGGTTGGTCATAAAGCTTCCAAACTCTCAAAATGTCAATTTTTTTAACATAATTAAGAATTATGAAAGTGAAATCAAACAAAAAAGATAAGCCAAACTCCGAAAATGGCATAATATAGAACGAAGACAGTATAGAAAACATGTCGCGTTCGTAGGGAGAACAGGTAATGTTCTACATTACGCATTGCAATGCAAGCCTACACATTTTGTAAGCCAAAGAGACCAATGTTGCAACCAATACCACAACTCCAACCTAATATGTTGGCCCTTTAACTTGATCCTTCGATAATTTACCCTTTAACCCAATCCTTAGATAACTAAAGTGGGGAAATCTTTATAAGGATAGAGACGTGAATTTGCAAATATCAAGTTCAACGAAGTTGATAGGAGAGTGTGAATTTGTAGTTGCAAACTTGGATGCTACAAGGAAGAACCCAATATTTTTAAAGAACCCAATATTTCTATGTTTCGTAAGGAAGCATAAAAATAAAGTAGTTTTGAGAAAATCCAACAGTAAAGGATGACAGAAACGATAAGTATTGGTGTGAAAATATGGCTCTAGCATAGTGACAACTTTTTATTCATACGATAACACTACAAACATTATATTTACACATATCTAGTAAGCTCTTCATATCCGACATATAAGAATGAAAACCGTTTAATCGAAATCTATAACTTATACACAAAACTAGCAAAAGAAAGTATACAAAATATTCATGTTTCTTCGGTAGTCTTAACCGGGGTCCAATCCTTATTTGTGACACCTTCTTTCTTCTTACGAGACATCGACCCAATAAAATATCCAACTAACATACAAAACAATAGAAGACCAGCACCCTGAACATACCACAAAACCGATGTTTTTCCGTCTTTACCCTTCAGATTCTCACTTGGCCCACCCTCGTTAGTGACTATTTTAGTAATTTCACCATTTATGATTTCCCCGGATGCTAGAATTTCCACCACATCATGTGCCTCCCCATCATGATTTCCGATATAAGTAAAAGTTAGTTTCTCTCTGTTAGCAATGAGTTTGGTGTACCCAAACTCACCACCACGGTACACTGAGCGGGCCGGTTGTGGAAAAATTGGGACTGTTAGGTGGTTAGGTCTAGGCTCCCAAATGGGCTGCCAGTCCTGACCAGCCATCCCAATCACCACATGTACTGGCCCACTCCCACAAGTATAATTATTTATTGGACAAAAACGTTCATATCTGTGAACATGGCCCCACAGGGCCAGGTTCACTTTATTATCAACCAACAACGGTTCCAAATGCTCAAGCATTTTCTCCCGAATCGGACGGTCTCTAACCTCATTGCTCGTGGTGTACATCGGTCTATGACCTTGGACCACAACAAACGGCGTTTTGACCCGGTCAACCGACTCCAAATCGCTCTTTAGAAACTCGTATTGTTTACTCCCTTTGAGGAAATCCGTTTCCGTTGATAAATACACAAAATGAACAACACCGAAATTGAAAGAATAGTAAAGGTTCCGAGTCGGCGGGGCCCGGGTCCCGGTTGACTCGGACGAGTTCCCGGGCATGTTGAATTTATAGCTATACGGTATCCCACATTCACCACCAGCATCACGAGCGAAAACATATATCGCCCAGTCTGGATTCCACGGCTGCATCGGCCAATCATACTCATGATTGCCGATGCAGACGTGGTACGGAACTTTAGACGCCACGGGCTCGATCTGGTTGAAAAAATGATCCCAGATCCAGGAGTAGCCCCTGGCGTAACTGATATCCCCAATGTGGGATATCAGAGCTGGTTTTTCACCGAGGGCTTCAATGTCACGCGCAATCCATTTAATGGTTGAAATACTTTCGTCTTGTGTTCTTATATAGGTGTTATATGGTGTTGCTGTCCCCATATCTCCGAACAAAAAAGCTATTGTTTCACCTGAATTGTTATCTGGTGATACGAAGTCGAAAGTATTGCTCCAACCCTCTGAATCACTTCCCACCTGTTAGTACAAAATTGAGATGATTACGTATATGATATATCTGTTTAAAACCTAATGATTGGTATAAGAAGTGTTTGATTATAAGTTAATAAACTACAATCTTTGTTAAAATATAATTCGAGAAATTACCTTGTAGAAGTACCTTCTTCCTGGTTGTAAGTTGATCATCACTCCATCATGTATAAACCCTGGATCTCTCCACCCAACACTCTGATTCGCCGGAGAATCACACATATCTTCCCTCTCATACCGGCCGACCCGAGTTTCCACCACATGATCCATCCGACCCGAATCCAAACCGTACTTCACGACACTTTCCTTTCCATGACCACTCACAAACATAACCCGCATCTCACCGACCTCACCCGTCAACGCTAAATGGATCTGGTCCGGCCCGTGAGCTTGTTCGTACTCAAACTCCTCCGTTTCCGCTAGTAAATGTTTGGGTTGTGGTAAGGGATTGTTGTCATGATCTTGGCGGGTCGGGATGATCTCTGACTCTGTCCATCGAAAGATCCGGATTTTGTATTTGGATCTGAGGTTAATCAATGGGATTGTGATGGAACCCGACCCGGATTGCCATGTGGATGAGGTGTTGAGGTAGAGATAACCGATGTAGTGGTGGAGGGAGGAGTTGGGCGGCGTGTAGATGCCGAGCCAGTCGAGTTGTGAAGGTGAGTCGACTCCAGACCATCTGATAGTTACCGAGTTGTTTGATTTGGTGAGAGAATTTGAGGAAAGGAAAAGCGAAGGTGATTTTGAGATCGATGGGTGAATGAAAAGAGTGAAGAAGAACAAAAACAAAAGAGGGATTGGTGAATTCATGATCTGGGGACTGGGATTATGGAGTTAGGGCTTTGGGGGTTGGATTAATGGAGAAGATGATGAATATAATAATTCATTTAGTTTGATTACAACGGAAGCGAAAGGAAAAGGATTGGTGATGTTTGGTCCGATTGAGAACTTTTTCGTTTGTTGCTCCGTCGTGTTCTCGACAGAAGTCGAGATGCGATTTGTCAAGATAGGTGGATGCATGGTGTGATGTAACACTACACAAAAGTTTTAGAAAATAAATAAATAATTATAATTTTTATTTTTTTCAGGTTTAAACAAAAATATTTTGTTAAAAATAATCTAAACTAGAAAAAAATCTTGGGCTTCACCCAGGTTAGATAATTTTTTTTTGTTTTGTAATCATGGTCTTTTTCAGTGAATCTTGGACTTCGTTCTTTGTCACTGTCATAGAGTGTGTTGTGTGATGTTGTTAGAATGGCACACAATTAAATATAGTAACATGGGTTAGTCGAAGGGGCGTCAATAATATCAAAGTAAATTGCAAAAATCAAAAACAAAATGTGAAAATTCAAAATACATTGATATTTAGTGCATTTACCATCTAAATATGCAAAAAAAAAAAATGTTACAAATAGCTTACTTTGGGTTTTGGTAAAAAAATTCAAAACAAATTGTAACTTCTTCATCAGTTTGAAACATCCTTAAAATGTCAATGTAAAAACAATGACTTAATCATGGATTTTAATTTCTGTGACAACTTCATTTGCCTAAAGTTTCAAGAGAACAATAATAGATGGAAGACATTTGTTTTTTGAATGAATTAAATATAAGAATGACATCATTTGTAGATAAATGTAGAACATATCTGCACTGGTATTTCACTGACATCCACTGTATAAAGTTTCTACAATCAAACACAGCATTACAATGGAAAGAATAAACATGGCATTATATTGCCAAAAACGAATCAAGAAAAGATGAAAGCTTGATAAGAAATAATGAATCTCAGTATGAGGTATCACTACAGAACCTTACACATCCATGTCTATTAAAACATAAATAAGTAATAAGATTGAGAGAATGAAAGCTTGTAAAACATAAATAAGTAATAAGATTGAGAGAATGAAAGCTTATAGATTGGGGGTGTGGGGAGTAGGGGTGGCGTCTGGCGAGTATGGGTAGGGTAGGGGTAGATATGAGGGATTGAGGTAGGGGCACGAATGAGGTTTAATTAAAACTGTAACATCCAAAAAATCTCAATAAATTTTAACTTTTCAAAAACAACCTATTTTATCCATAAAGTGTTTACAAAACTATTATTCAAAATCAGAGTATCCCAAGATCCAATATCATAAAAACAGGGAGATGTGCATGAAGTACCTGAAACAATAAACTGAAACCGTAAGCCAAAATTTAGTGAGTTCCCCCAACGTACCATCACACAACATACAAAAAATAGCATGCAAATATGAGCCTTCACCCTGACTGGACCGCCTCGCAGGTAATACAGCATATCTAGACCGCTCTACGGGCCTTCGGCATGACTGGACCGCCTCGCAGGGCCTACAGCCTATTCGGACCGCCTCGGGTGTCTTGTCCTTCAGCACAAAGCAGGACCGTCTCAACCCAACCACAATATGTCGACATATGTAACAGACAAACATAAAACACATATCCAGCAAACACAGATAATCATACACATCTACAAATTAATCATCTAACTAGCATAACCCCATCCTATAAACCAGGATACGTAACCTAGTGGGCCGCCATTGGTGCCTTCGACCCATAAGTACAGTGAGGAAAACTCACCTTTCAGTCCAAAAAATAGTTAATTAAATCTCTGCTTCGAATATCGGCTCTACTCGTCACCTATTCATCAAATAGTGACCAATCTCAAATACAACTCAGAATACCCAAAATACTCTTAGGTCAAACTTGGTCAATTTTTGGTCAAAGGCCAAAAAGTCAAAAAGTCAAACGTGGTCAACACAGCTGAGTACGCCCAACGTACTCAGCTTGTACGCTTGGCGTACACGAGTTGATCAGAAAAACTTGATGGCTGACCACAAACGCCCAACACTCCTGGGGAACGCCCACCGTTCGCGACTAAATATTTTTCCTTTTGATTAAGAGCTTAATCCTTAAGCTCTTTTGTCCATAATCCAGATCCAACCCTAAAATAACGTCCTTAACCATAAGTTTCCAACTTTATGGTGTTGCATGGCCATTAAGTTCCCAAACACAAAAACCCTAACTACTTAACCCATTAAAACCTTGTAACTCATACATGGAAGGAAACTAACAGTCAAAATTACATTTTTATGCTTCTAAATGCTCCAAAACGTCTAAAAGGACAGATTGTGTGGATTAGAGTAATCCATACTCATAATACCAAGCTTATGGGACCAAAAGAACACCATTTCATGTATTAGACAATATCTAATCCAAGCTTCACCAAGTTTAGAGCTTTTTACCTCCAAATGATGCCAAATGATGATGTGATTATGGATCCAAAGTGTTCCACTTCTTCAAGATGATATTTTCTTCTTCCTTTCTCCTTCAAGGTCACCAAAACTCACACAAAATGCTCAAGAATGATCTAAGATGGATTAGGGTTTGCTTGGGGACAAAGGTGGGTTGGAGGCTGATGAAAGAAGGCAGGTTTGGTATTTAAGGAAGTTTAAATAAGGTCCAAACCCTAAATATTAGGATTTGGGATTCTGGCACGAAGGCCCAACATTCCTGGGGAATGCCCAGCGTTCGTGAGCTTGCCCAATAAATTATGACATTGCCTTTATGGACCACTTTGCAACCAATTCTCATATTAAGGGTGAAAATATAATTAATTCTCATGCTAAGGGGTTAAAAGGTAAATACCTAAATATCCGGATGTTACAATTCTCCCCCACTTGAACTAGACTTCGTCCTCGAAGTCTGATGTTGTGAACAACTCGGGGTGATGCTCTCGCATCTCTGTCTCGGGTTCCCATGTCCATTCGGAACCCTTCTGATGCTGCCACTAAACCTTGACCAAAGACACCACCTTGTTGCGCAAGGCCTTCGTCTTCCGATCCAAAAATGGCCACTAGTCTCTCAATATAATTCAAGCGATCATCAACCTGAATATCATCCAAAAGAACAACCATTGAATCATCAGCCACACACTTTTGAAACTGTTAAACATGGAAGGTGTTGTGGATCTGACTGAGCTCCTCAGGCAAATCCAACCGGAAAGTTACCTTGCCCACCCTGGAAACCACTCGAAATGGTATAAATATATCGGGGCCCCAACTTGCCCCTCTTCCTGAAGCGTATTACACCCTTTCAGGGTGATACCTTCAGCAAAACTATGTCACCAAAACCTGGAACTCCAACTCAGATCAACGCTTGTCGACGTAACTCTTCTATCGGCTCTGAGTTGTTTGTAGACTCTGCCTAGTTTGTCGTCTGAAGGACTACCTCCGTCCTTACTATAACCCTATGACCCACATCTCCCAACATATTGGGGTACGACACTTCCCCCATAGAGAAGCTCAAATGGTGGCACACCGCTACTGGAGTGATAGTTATTGTTGTGAAACACAACCATGTCAACATATTCCACACTCCCTTTAACCACTTCAAGTCAAAGCATCTTACTCAGAAAAATCTCGAGACACTAATCAGAAACCAACAAATACCAAAAAAAATAATAACTTGAAATTACTCAATTGTACAACTCACTTTCTCCCTTCAACTGAAGACCCAGCTTCCAGTGAGAACCCAACAGCTAGAAATTATCGAACTACTAGCTCCATCAATATACTTCCCGGAATCGGGAGCCCATCAATCCTAAACTTCAGAAACCGCACTCTAATATTGCTGATTATCCGATTGTCATACCCACCCCTAGTCCCTGACTAGGAACACCATCAAAAACACGTGGAAAGAATATTCAACATATAAATGCGCTGACGAGACCTGAACGGAAGTTAATCGGTCGCATACCAGATTAACCCAAGCACTCATTTGGCTCAACAGCCCTGTCATCCACTGACCACACTCGATCCTACCCTCGATCCGCCTAACCAATAACTGCACTCGAGCTTACCCCCAATCTGATAACCAAAACTACACTCGTCATCACATAGATGAAACCCACGAGGGTCTGTGACACGTCGTGACATCACCCAATCATTAGAATGGGAAGCTCACAATTCCCCACCGTTCTTACCACATTATTATAGCCATTCCTAGTACGACCTAACTCATCCCAAAGAATGTTACGACCAAATCGTAGACTTACCATACTTTTACGCCCGACTACCACTTACAGAACGTTATGATTACCCCATAGTCTCACAACATTTCCACAATTGCCATGGGCCCATCCCATTGTTTTGTCATCCATCCCCAAGAATACTTAATCGAAGATCAATACTATCTGGATCCTCCGACCAAGATAATCCAAATCCTTAGCCTCTGATTTTCCTGATTATGATTAAAACCAACTATTCTCTTGTCCTTGGATACGAATGCCAAGATATTTCGCATTTGAAATTATTATCGATATTTCCAACTGATTCTCCCCTACTTGGAATTAGTCACTCTCTAATGATTTCTAGACTTTCATTATTCGCTCACAAACCATAGCGTCCAGGTCCTAAGCTTTTCAGCTTAATAATCGAACCGATCCTATAATTCTCAACCGACTGAACCCAAACTTTTGAATGCCATCAAAAACAATGTTATATTGACTCCTTTCCGACCCTACCACCCTCAATTGATATTCAACATGAGCAATACGCACTCCTCTTATCTCTATTTCATTGTCCTAGAAGGGACAGCTGGCTGCAACAAGATCTTGTCTATAAGCCTCTGGCGCAAGAACTACGTGCACAACTATGAGAGCATGAATTTATGACAACTCCTCTTGCACACACTTCAGATCAATCTCCCATTCATATTTATCATAACATATCTCAACAGTTTTGAATACAAAAAATCCAACGAACTTTCACTGCAACTTCCTTCGGCTCATCGCGTGGAACCCATCAAAATCAATCTGGCTGTTGATCCTACGACCTTGCGGCATCTAATCCTCCGAGCAGAATGCTCAGTCCTCCCCCACTCAGGGATTGCTCCCTCAATGGCCGACATTCTCAACATCGCAACCTAAAAACCGGTTCGTCTAGATACCCTCTAAACACAGCTCTCGGTATACAACGACATATGACAATTCCTGAATAATAACCAGCAATCGT